GCTAGTGGCTGTAATGATTAAAGTGGAGAGTTTGTGCTTACGCGCAATTCATCAGATTAATTCATTTCTTCGCGCCGGAAAACCTACAAACGCGGACGATTTTGACAAGGTGTACACATTAACGGGACCAGGAACAAGTACGGCCTGTTTCTGAACGTACCTTTACTTAAAATGTGTCTCCTGCACCTTGTTTGTCAGTTTGTTTTTGTTTCTTTTCCCTACCCAACCTAGCTTTTAATTACTGTATAAATATGTGCGATCAAATAACATCTCAGATGTAAATAAAGTACTTCTTATTCATATACCTGCCTTTTCTGACTTAAATAGCGGTTTTTGCAAGCAGGTTTTCAGCTAACGCTAAGTTGAAAAGTGATGTTTCACTGTCGTTAGGAGTTAAAGCAAGTAATTTGTCAACCGCCAACGACAAGGAAATGAAGTCGTACATGGATCAAATGGATGAGGAATTAGCGCAGACATCTATAGGAGAGAGTTTTGAAAAGGTAAATATGTTTTTAATCTCAAGTATTGCTGTTCTTCTGTCTTGTGGACTCGTAAAGCTGAAACTACAGCCAGTCCTCAAGGAGCCAAATTGTGCACAAACCAATCAAACTCGAGGCAAGAACGTGTAGCCGGAGCTGTAGCCACTGGAAAGCGCCGGAAATGCGCTCGCCAGAACTTGGTTAGAATTGGTTTGCATTTGATTGGCTGAGTTTTCAATGCTTTACTGTGATTGGTGAACATTTTGGACCTGTTGTTGAGACCCCGTCAACCATATACTACGCCGGAGGAATTTGAAAACGCAACAATCACCGGTTATTTTGGATTTGTGTTCGAGGAAAACTCGGTCAGGGAAATCACACGATTATCGTGACGCCATCGTTTTCGAAAAGCTCTGTTTTCGATATGTTTTCCGTCCGCACGAAAACGAAACGCTGGAGTTTTCAAATTCCTCCGATTCGTGGAGCATTTTCGAAAAGCTCCTTATTGGTGACGGATTGGTGTGGACAGTAGGCCTAACCATACAAAGAAAGCTGCGTTTTCAAATTTCTCCGGCGTAGTGTGGACGCTGCATGAGATGAGCAAAACAGTACATTTTTAGCTCCTGATGAAAGTCAGTGAAAGAGAAAAAGAATAATAAATCCGAATAAGAATTGAACAAGCGAATTCCATCAGGGTCATTATGTGTTCCGCTGGGTGAAGGGTTTGGCCACTGGAAGTGGTTGGCAAATGTTTGTTAGAGGCCCTAGCGGCTTCATGTAGCTCAGTTTGTTGGCCGCGTGGGTTTGAATCCCGTTTGAATCCCGCGTAGGTTTGAATCACGTAACTAAGTTTCCTTAAACTGTGAAGAACATTTTCATTTCAGAGCGTTCTTATAGCTGATGAAAATATACTTTTTTAGTTCACCGTACACAGATTAAGATGTCATTAGACTGGATTGGCTAGCAAAACCGCTTTCATTACTGCCTCAATGAAAATTCCTGTTGCAAATTCTGTAAAACATTTCTCCTGCTATAGTTGGCCCAGTTAAGTATTTGCTCTGTTTTGTTGTACTTTAGAGAGGGAACCTACCTCAAGGAACTGGCCACAACCAAAACAACCTGACAAGTGAATGTCAAGAGGATTCTGCAGAGGATACTCCAGTTGATGTAGACTTCAATCTTGTGAAAAATATCCTGGAATCATTCTCTACACAGCAAGGACTCGCGGGACCCGCGTCAAATATCCTGAATTCTATGGGAGTGTGGTTGCCGCCTAACACAGACCTAACGGATTCAACTTAGCTAAAGGCCAGGGCCAGGATTGATTCACCGAAATTACGTTCTCGGTTTGCTATTGAATGCGGACGAGGACACGGGCTCAAAGCGAAGAGCAAAAACAATTAAAACTCGTATGGCTATGTAGCCAGGTGAGGCGGGTAAGAAGAACAAATTTGGAAAGCCCCGGGAAATCGACACATGCGATACACTTTCAGTTGATCCAGTTCTATTCGAGTTGGGATAAAAGGAGATTTCTTACATGACCGTTGTGGTACCCATGTTCCAACGGATTGCACATTCCATGTTGCCGTGCGTCTGTTCAGTATCTGATCACAAATGACGTCAAAAATGTGGTTAGAACAAGAAAGTGGCGCTCAAGGCGGTGTCCGAGTGTGTCACTAATGTTCCTACCACATTTTGAGATCATCTGTAATCAATTACTGAACAGACACACGGCAGCATGTTGTTGTTAATGACGTTATCTATACCTCTGTCCTGCAATTGATCATGAGCAAGAACCATTAAAAATGCGAGAATAATGCGACTTATTAAGCGTCATGTTCTACGGCAAACGGTAAACGCCAGGTTGTTGTTGACTCCAGTGGCGGATCCAGACCTTGAGCTAGGGGGGTCCCCATTTTGTTTTGCTTGCCCTGCCGGCTTTTCATACTTCTGTGATTTCTTCTTTTCTTACCCCTCCCCTAGATCTGCCACTGGACTCTGTTTACTTTTGCTTGAATTATCAATAAATCCATCCAAAAAAGAAACTGCTTACATGAGTTACTTCAAACTACTCACCTGATGTACAAGTGCAAATGGAAGTCGACAAATAATTTCTTTTTTTTTTCTGAATTTTGACACTAGTTGGGACGTTTTTCAGTCAAACCACGCCTGCACTGGTAGTGTAGACTACTTTTAAAAAAGCATCGTTAAAATTCGAAAATGAAGTCGATTAACAATGATATTCATTCATGACGTGAATGTTTTCCCGGTGATAGCTCAAAGAGGCAGCGAAAAAGTTTTTCACTACCGCACGCTCTTTCCATATTTTGCGGAGAACCCGTTATCCCATACAGCTTTTTCATTAATAAGAAGGTCTGTTTGGCAGGTTGAGGCTGAAATTGTCAAGTTTTACAGATATGAGGTTGAAAATGTTCCTCAAATACGTATTCACTTTTTTCCATATTGCGGTGAATTTCTCCGAAACACATCCAAATTGTTCTTGTACTTATTTTAGGTCACCCTCAGGAGTTTGGATTCAGACGAATGCTGGTGCAACGAGATCTCCAACCAGCCAACTCTCGGTCATTTTGAGGTACCTGACAAACGTGACAAATGAACAAATGCAGAAAACAGAGTTTTGTCTAATTTCAGCCTTTCGGAGGTTCTTATGATGGTAAAATTTTTTTTTTCAATCTCTTCATTTGGGAAAAGAGGTTAAAGAAAGTAAATACCTATTACGTTGAGCTATATTCTGAGAATATAATTGGTTTCCACATCCCGATCTCTGGATTATTACTCAGTATTCTGATTTATTCCAAGCATTACATTTCCTGTTTTCAATACACCCGTCACTTTCCCTCTCCCATGTCTCGATCTTATATCCTGTGTGAGTTCTAAATTTTTTCCTTTCTAAATATAATTTCATCCTTTTTATAGATTTTCTTTTAGGATGATGTTTTATCCAAATTTCCTGACTTCGGGTGATAATCATACCGTGGTGATACCTCTTCCCGTCCTATTTAGTTAACAGTATTTACATCTTTTATCTGTTTACTTTTGCCGATGAGGTTGAATATTGAAAAAAAAAAGAAAACATAAATTTATATTTTACGACAAGGAGTATTGTATTCCATAAAATTAGCCTCGGATGTGACCTTTACAAAATATCCGTAACGTTCGAAAATATGGACAAATTTTCAAGAATGTCCGTGATTTTCGTGCTCTTTATTAGAGTGGGTGAATTGGTTTTCGGATCGACGGATTTTGCCTGAAAAAGCGTACGGATTGCGGAGTTTTGCGGTAAATCGAGCGGTTTCGTGGATTTTGAAAACACAGTGGATCGTGGATTAGCTGTGAATTTTGGCTCAGATTCCGGATTGTGCCCGTCTTAATGTTCGGATCTTGGGTTCTAAACGAAATTTGGATCATAGATCTTTCTTCAGCCTTGGTGGGTATGTTAATGAGTTCATCCAAATTATTTATTCTTTACTATTTGTGCGAAATTAACAGTAGCATTCACATTTACCAGTTTACCTTTGAACTTTTACATTTCGGTTTCCGGATGTGGTTGTGGCTTCGGATTTGAACAAAAATATTGGCGGATCGATGCATTTGGCCAAAAAAAAGGTACGGATTGGCGGATTTGCATACCCCTATTCACCCCCCTCTTTATTGTTACAATCGCCAATGGCGGTGAGGTAACGGAGATTACCACGACTGAAAACTACTGTCCTTATTTCAAAAATCGAGCTCCGGCACCTCGACCAGTCCTCAAAAACTGTACCTGGTACAGAGAAAACGCTTGCTGTCTTCAAACCGAACTAGACCCTATATTTCCGCAAGTTCTTCCAGTCCATCGCTTGGAGCGAGCGACAAATGTTTACAATACACAAATTTCTTCATTCGTGTATCGTGTTGCGTCTGTGCAGCAGACCAGAATTTATTCTACAATGACGAGAGATTGACCGTGTGCGAGGCTTTTTGTGACAAATGGTTCGCCGCCTGCGATGACGCAAAACTAACAGAATTCAAGGGAATGAAGATCAAAGGGCTGTTCAAATCTGGAAAAGAGTTTTGTCAAGCGAGGACGTTTTCCAGACACGAGTGGCTCTGGTTGCTTTAGTTACGATAAGAAAATCGAGAGTTCAGCTCTGGTGAATGTCCCAGCGTTGCGTGTTTTATGGTTTGCTGCAATTGCTGTTGTCCTGTATCTGAATGAAAGTTTATAAAGCACAGGATGAAAAGTAAGGTAAGCTTTATCTCTCTTCTAGAAATATTGATATTATGCTGGATCTGGACAAAAGATCGATGCATGTTTCAGTGGCGGATCTAGGGGAGGGGCCCGGACCCTTATTTTGGGTGAAAAAAGAGGAAATGACTGAAGGAAGAAAAGCCGGCAGAGCAAGTAAAACTAAACCGGGCTCTTCCCTTAGCTCAAAGTCTGGATCCGCCACTGTGTTTAAAATCTTTTAATCGGGTTTAATGTAATCCAATCAATCACAACCAACAGATGTGGCCCAGATGTGGCCTTTGAAACCGTTAAATAGTTTCTCTTTCTTGAGAGGTCCACTAAAACGATTGATATCAAGAAAAAGTGAACTGCTGTTTGACTGTGTGTTATTGAGAGACGCAGTAATGATAACTACCAAGTAATTGGTGAAGATTTAAATAATTATTCTCATCACAAATGAAGTTTTAATACATTTTCATTTCGCTTGAAGACTTGTGAATTTTAGATCTTGTGTAGTCGAAATGGAACAAAGAAGTATAGTTAAAGGTATCTAAATAAATGTTGTGGTGTGAGTGGTCAGGAGTGTTCCGTCATGATCAGATCTCCCTTAAAGGCAACTGCGAATTAGAAATAGATCTTAGTGTGCTGTTTTAGTGCTCCATGCACAGTCTACATGTACATGAACAATAAAACAGCACATGGCACATCAGTTCAACTTCTTCCTGCCAAAAGACGACAAGGCTAGTTCCTATGAGCAGACCCTGCCTCTGTTCAGCCAAAAAGAACAATAGGAAAAAAAGACCCAACGGCACTCTTAAACAACAACAATAGCTGCTGTAACCTTTGCAATTCGTACCCATTGTTTTATTGTCCAATTTATACATGCTACGTATTTTAATTGTATATACATTTTTATTATTATTCCTTATTTGTAAATAATTTTAATTTTTTTTTTGTTGTGTCCCCAGTTAGTTATGAAAGCTAAATACATTGACACATGTACATTAATAAAGCTTTTACTTACTTTTACTACTTAGGCAGTGACGGCTATTTATTTTAGACAGCTTGTGGCCTCTGCGCACCTGATTATAGTGCACAGAAGCGTTGAGGTCAGTTTTCTGAAAAATTATGCAAATATGCATTGCGGACCTACTGTTTAATGAGTACCTCTTAGAGTGACAGAAACCAAGAGACCTTAGCTTAGCTGTTACATGGTAAATCTGTGCCAAAACAAGTTCAATTATCACAGACTCAAGGATACAAAGGCACTGTTTAGTATACATGTAGGTATGGTACAAGTTGCCTGGCTCATACTTGGCATCTAACATGTCAAACCTATCNGCTAGTGGCTGTAATGATTAAAGTGGAGAGTTTGTGCTTACGCGCAATTCATCAGATTAATTCATTTCTTCGCGCCGGAAAACCTACAAACGCGGACGATTTTGACAAGGTGTACACATTAACGGGACCAGGAACAAGTACGGCCTGTTTCTGAACGTACCTTTACTTAAAATGTGTCTCCTGCACCTTGTTTGTCAGTTTGTTTTTGTTTCTTTTCCCTACCCAACCTAGCTTTTAATTACTGTATAAATATGTGCGATCAAATAACATCTCAGATGTAAATAAAGTACTTCTTATTCATATACCTGCCTTTTCTGACTTAAATAGCGGTTTTTGCAAGCAGGTTTTCAGCTAACGCTAAGTTGAAAAGTGATGTTTCACTGTCGTTAGGAGTTAAAGCAAGTAATTTGTCAACCGCCAACGACAAGGAAATGAAGTCGTACATGGATCAAATGGATGAGGAATTAGCGCAGACATCTATAGGAGAGAGTTTTGAAAAGGTAAATATGTTTTTAATCTCAAGTATTGCTGTTCTTCTGTCTTGTGGACTCGTAAAGCTGAAACTACAGCCAGTCCTCAAGGAGCCAAATTGTGCACAAACCAATCAAACTCGAGGCAAGAACGTGTAGCCGGAGCTGTAGCCACTGGAAAGCGCCGGAAATGCGCTCGCCAGAACTTGGTTAGAATTGGTTTGCATTTGATTGGCTGAGTTTTCAATGCTTTACTGTGATTGGTGAACATTTTGGACCTGTTGTTGAGACCCCGTCAACCATATACTACGCCGGAGGAATTTGAAAACGCAACAATCACCGGTTATTTTGGATTTGTGTTCGAGGAAAACTCGGTCAGGGAAATCACACGATTATCGTGACGCCATCGTTTTCGAAAAGCTCTGTTTTCGATATGTTTTCCGTCCGCACGAAAACGAAACGCTGGAGTTTTCAAATTCCTCCGATTCGTGGAGCATTTTCGAAAAGCTCCTTATTGGTGACGGATTGGTGTGGACAGTAGGCCTAACCATACAAAGAAAGCTGCGTTTTCAAATTTCTCCGGCGTAGTGTGGACGCTGCATGAGATGAGCAAAACAGTACATTTTTAGCTCCTGATGAAAGTCAGTGAAAGAGAAAAAGAATAATAAATCCGAATAAGAATTGAACAAGCGAATTCCATCAGGGTCATTATGTGTTCCGCTGGGTGAAGGGTTTGGCCACTGGAAGTGGTTGGCAAATGTTTGTTAGAGGCCCTAGCGGCTTCATGTAGCTCAGTTTGTTGGCCGCGTGGGTTTGAATCCCGTTTGAATCCCGCGTAGGTTTGAATCACGTAACTAAGTTTCCTTAAACTGTGAAGAACATTTTCATTTCAGAGCGTTCTTATAGCTGATGAAAATATACTTTTTTAGTTCACCGTACACAGATTAAGATGTCATTAGACTGGATTGGCTAGCAAAACCGCTTTCATTACTGCCTCAATGAAAATTCCTGTTGCAAATTCTGTAAAACATTTCTCCTGCTATAGTTGGCCCAGTTAAGTATTTGCTCTGTTTTGTTGTACTTTAGAGAGGGAACCTACCTCAAGGAACTGGCCACAACCAAAACAACCTGACAAGTGAATGTCAAGAGGATTCTGCAGAGGATACTCCAGTTGATGTAGACTTCAATCTTGTGAAAAATATCCTGGAATCATTCTCTACACAGCAAGGACTCGCGGGACCCGCGTCAAATATCCTGAATTCTATGGGAGTGTGGTTGCCGCCTAACACAGACCTAACGGATTCAACTTAGCTAAAGGCCAGGGCCAGGATTGATTCACCGAAATTACGTTCTCGGTTTGCTATTGAATGCGGACGAGGACACGGGCTCAAAGCGAAGAGCAAAAACAATTAAAACTCGTATGGCTATGTAGCCAGGTGAGGCGGGTAAGAAGAACAAATTTGGAAAGCCCCGGGAAATCGACACATGCGATACACTTTCAGTTGATCCAGTTCTATTCGAGTTGGGATAAAAGGAGATTTCTTACATGACCGTTGTGGTACCCATGTTCCAACGGATTGCACATTCCATGTTGCCGTGCGTCTGTTCAGTATCTGATCACAAATGACGTCAAAAATGTGGTTAGAACAAGAAAGTGGCGCTCAAGGCGGTGTCCGAGTGTGTCACTAATGTTCCTACCACATTTTGAGATCATCTGTAATCAATTACTGAACAGACACACGGCAGCATGTTGTTGTTAATGACGTTATCTATACCTCTGTCCTGCAATTGATCATGAGCAAGAACCATTAAAAATGCGAGAATAATGCGACTTATTAAGCGTCATGTTCTACGGCAAACGGTAAACGCCAGGTTGTTGTTGACTCCAGTGGCGGATCCAGACCTTGAGCTAGGGGGGTCCCCATTTTGTTTTGCTTGCCCTGCCGGCTTTTCATACTTCTGTGATTTCTTCTTTTCTTACCCCTCCCCTAGATCTGCCACTGGACTCTGTTTACTTTTGCTTGAATTATCAATAAATCCATCCAAAAAAGAAACTGCTTACATGAGTTACTTCAAACTACTCACCTGATGTACAAGTGCAAATGGAAGTCGACAAATAATTTCTTTTTTTTTTCTGAATTTTGACACTAGTTGGGACGTTTTTCAGTCAAACCACGCCTGCACTGGTAGTGTAGACTACTTTTAAAAAAGCATCGTTAAAATTCGAAAATGAAGTCGATTAACAATGATATTCATTCATGACGTGAATGTTTTCCCGGTGATAGCTCAAAGAGGCAGCGAAAAAGTTTTTCACTACCGCACGCTCTTTCCATATTTTGCGGAGAACCCGTTATCCCATACAGCTTTTTCATTAATAAGAAGGTCTGTTTGGCAGGTTGAGGCTGAAATTGTCAAGTTTTACAGATATGAGGTTGAAAATGTTCCTCAAATACGTATTCACTTTTTTCCATATTGCGGTGAATTTCTCCGAAACACATCCAAATTGTTCTTGTACTTATTTTAGGTCACCCTCAGGAGTTTGGATTCAGACGAATGCTGGTGCAACGAGATCTCCAACCAGCCAACTCTCGGTCATTTTGAGGTACCTGACAAACGTGACAAATGAACAAATGCAGAAAACAGAGTTTTGTCTAATTTCAGCCTTTCGGAGGTTCTTATGATGGTAAAATTTTTTTTTTCAATCTCTTCATTTGGGAAAAGAGGTTAAAGAAAGTAAATACCTATTACGTTGAGCTATATTCTGAGAATATAATTGGTTTCCACATCCCGATCTCTGGATTATTACTCAGTATTCTGATTTATTCCAAGCATTACATTTCCTGTTTTCAATACACCCGTCACTTTCCCTCTCCCATGTCTCGATCTTATATCCTGTGTGAGTTCTAAATTTTTTCCTTTCTAAATATAATTTCATCCTTTTTATAGATTTTCTTTTAGGATGATGTTTTATCCAAATTTCCTGACTTCGGGTGATAATCATACCGTGGTGATACCTCTTCCCGTCCTATTTAGTTAACAGTATTTACATCTTTTATCTGTTTACTTTTGCCGATGAGGTTGAATATTGAAAAAAAAAAGAAAACATAAATTTATATTTTACGACAAGGAGTATTGTATTCCATAAAATTAGCCTCGGATGTGACCTTTACAAAATATCCGTAACGTTCGAAAATATGGACAAATTTTCAAGAATGTCCGTGATTTTCGTGCTCTTTATTAGAGTGGGTGAATTGGTTTTCGGATCGACGGATTTTGCCTGAAAAAGCGTACGGATTGCGGAGTTTTGCGGTAAATCGAGCGGTTTCGTGGATTTTGAAAACACAGTGGATCGTGGATTAGCTGTGAATTTTGGCTCAGATTCCGGATTGTGCCCGTCTTAATGTTCGGATCTTGGGTTCTAAACGAAATTTGGATCATAGATCTTTCTTCAGCCTTGGTGGGTATGTTAATGAGTTCATCCAAATTATTTATTCTTTACTATTTGTGCGAAATTAACAGTAGCATTCACATTTACCAGTTTACCTTTGAACTTTTACATTTCGGTTTCCGGATGTGGTTGTGGCTTCGGATTTGAACAAAAATATTGGCGGATCGATGCATTTGGCCAAAAAAAAGGTACGGATTGGCGGATTTGCATACCCCTATTCACCCCCCTCTTTATTGTTACAATCGCCAATGGCGGTGAGGTAACGGAGATTACCACGACTGAAAACTACTGTCCTTATTTCAAAAATCGAGCTCCGGCACCTCGACCAGTCCTCAAAAACTGTACCTGGTACAGAGAAAACGCTTGCTGTCTTCAAACCGAACTAGACCCTATATTTCCGCAAGTTCTTCCAGTCCATCGCTTGGAGCGAGCGACAAATGTTTACAATACACAAATTTCTTCATTCGTGTATCGTGTTGCGTCTGTGCAGCAGACCAGAATTTATTCTACAATGACGAGAGATTGACCGTGTGCGAGGCTTTTTGTGACAAATGGTTCGCCGCCTGCGATGACGCAAAACTAACAGAATTCAAGGGAATGAAGATCAAAGGGCTGTTCAAATCTGGAAAAGAGTTTTGTCAAGCGAGGACGTTTTCCAGACACGAGTGGCTCTGGTTGCTTTAGTTACGATAAGAAAATCGAGAGTTCAGCTCTGGTGAATGTCCCAGCGTTGCGTGTTTTATGGTTTGCTGCAATTGCTGTTGTCCTGTATCTGAATGAAAGTTTATAAAGCACAGGATGAAAAGTAAGGTAAGCTTTATCTCTCTTCTAGAAATATTGATATTATGCTGGATCTGGACAAAAGATCGATGCATGTTTCAGTGGCGGATCTAGGGGAGGGGCCCGGACCCTTATTTTGGGTGAAAAAAGAGGAAATGACTGAAGGAAGAAAAGCCGGCAGAGCAAGTAAAACTAAACCGGGCTCTTCCCTTAGCTCAAAGTCTGGATCCGCCACTGTGTTTAAAATCTTTTAATCGGGTTTAATGTAATCCAATCAATCACAACCAACAGATGTGGCCCAGATGTGGCCTTTGAAACCGTTAAATAGTTTCTCTTTCTTGAGAGGTCCACTAAAACGATTGATATCAAGAAAAAGTGAACTGCTGTTTGACTGTGTGTTATTGAGAGACGCAGTAATGATAACTACCAAGTAATTGGTGAAGATTTAAATAATTATTCTCATCACAAATGAAGTTTTAATACATTTTCATTTCGCTTGAAGACTTGTGAATTTTAGATCTTGTGTAGTCGAAATGGAACAAAGAAGTATAGTTAAAGGTATCTAAATAAATGTTGTGGTGTGAGTGGTCAGGAGTGTTCCGTCATGATCAGATCTCCCTTAAAGGCAACTGCGAATTAGAAATAGATCTTAGTGTGCTGTTTTAGTGCTCCATGCACAGTCTACATGTACATGAACAATAAAACAGCACATGGCACATCAGTTCAACTTCTTCCTGCCAAAAGACGACAAGGCTAGTTCCTATGAGCAGACCCTGCCTCTGTTCAGCCAAAAAGAACAATAGGAAAAAAAGACCCAACGGCACTCTTAAACAACAACAATAGCTGCTGTAACCTTTGCAATTCGTACCCATTGTTTTATTGTCCAATTTATACATGCTACGTATTTTAATTGTATATACATTTTTATTATTATTCCTTATTTGTAAATAATTTTAATTTTTTTTTTGTTGTGTCCCCAGTTAGTTATGAAAGCTAAATACATTGACACATGTACATTAATAAAGCTTTTACTTACTTTTACTACTTAGGCAGTGACGGCTATTTATTTTAGACAGCTTGTGGCCTCTGCGCACCTGATTATAGTGCACAGAAGCGTTGAGGTCAGTTTTCTGAAAAATTATGCAAATATGCATTGCGGACCTACTGTTTAATGAGTACCTCTTAGAGTGACAGAAACCAAGAGACCTTAGCTTAGCTGTTACATGGTAAATCTGTGCCAAAACAAGTTCAATTATCACAGACTCAAGGATACAAAGGCACTGTTTAGTATACATGTAGGTATGGTACAAGTTGCCTGGCTCATACTTGGCATCTAACATGTCAAACCTATCCAAATTTGTGGCAAGAACGATTTCTGCTATCACTCTTAGGGTTCTTCGTTCTCTACTGTTTGCTCGCTGAGTTTTTCAGGTTCTT